CGTGCCAGAAGCCTTGCTGTGACCCATGTCAGCAAGCCTGCTGTGACCCGTGCCAGAAGACCGTCTGCTGTGATCCGTGCCAGAAGCCCTGCTGTGACCCGTGCCAGCAAGCCTGTTGTGACCCATGCCAGCAGGTGTGCTGTGACCCATGCCAGAAGCCCTGCTGTGACCCGTGCCAGCAAGCCTGTTGTGACCCATGCCAGCAGGTGTGCTGTGACCCATGCCAGAAGCCCTGCTGTGACCCGTGCCAGCAAGCCTGTTGTGACCCATGCCAGCAGGTGTGCTGTGACCCATGCCAGAAGCCCTGCTGTGACCCGTGCCAGCAAGCCTGCTGTGACCCGTGCCAGCAGTCTACCTGCTGTGACCCATGCCAGCAAGCGTGCTGTGACCCGTGCCAGCAGCCCATCTGCTGCACCAAGGTGTGCCAGAAGTCCTGCTGCTGCACGCAGCCCCCCTGCTGCTGCTGTGGCTGCCCCTGCTCCGGATGCCTGTCCTGCTGCTCCTACGTGGTGAAGAAAAAGCCCATGGTGGTGTGCTGCAGCCCCGCGCCGTGCTGCTCTCCCGTGAGGAGGTGTTGCATTCCCATCCAGCAGTGCTGCGCCGCCATCAAGAAACGCTGCTGAGCCCACCCCAGGGAGCAGGAGCAGCTCTGCCAGGTCCCCGTCTCCGGCGTGCAACAAGAAGGAGATGAAAAGCTGCTCATTTGCTTCTGGTTCACATGATGACGGAGTCAATGCCTAGAGACCTTCTTCTTGTTTACAAACTCAAGCTGTTGTTCTCTTTCTGCCTTTTAATTACTGAACATCTGTAAGGCACTTGAATATATCACCTATTGCCTAAGGCAAAGAGCTATTAGATACTAGTGAAGGCAAAGAACTATTAGATATTAGTGAAGGTAAAGAGCTATTAGATATTAGTGGGGCTGTTCTTCTTGGTGTGTGGAACTTTGGAGACCTTTGCTGTTAATGTACGCGTTCTTCATTTTCACTCTTGACCTGTAGACAATAAAACTTAGCATTAAGCAAAACATAAAAATCTTGTCTTTCAATTATTCACCCATGGCTTTGCCCAGATCATGTCTTCATGCTCATCTTCTGTGCCTTCAGCCAAGCTCCTGCTCCTACACACATGCTCCACGGCCCGGGAGAACCTTCAGGAAACAAATTGCTGCCCATTGGCATAAATTAGGTCACGTCTAAAGGCATCAAGCAGAGAAGTAGGATCTCTCCTTGATCATCTGCCTCAGTTAGCTCCAGACTAAATAGTTAAGGTAAATAAAACTCAAAGCCCACACGCTGAGTGAACCACAAATAACTCCACCCCCTGGAAACACACCACTCCACAGGGTGTGTAGGAACTCATCCCCAACACTGGAATAAATGTTTCAGCAGATACTGAGAGGAATTCGCTACTCACTGAACAGCAGGCACCATCTTCTTGCACTACCATCTTCAAAAATAAAATGTCATAAACCACTTTAAATTGGTGAATTATTTTTATGGGACCAGAGATTTTTGTAGGCAGAGATCCTGGGTTACAAATGGTAGAACGAAACCCAGGTGTTCACGTACGACTTAAAAGCTTCATTCCTAAAATAGCACACCCATGAGTCAACAACACCTTTTCTACCTACCTGGAACTTCCTTTACTATTAAAATTCAGGACTCAGCTATGAATTGCACGTCTCAGGAAAATGCCTTGAGCACTCTCTTGATTGCTTCCCTCAACAAAATCTTCAGAGAATATGCAAAGCCTGCCTTAGAATAATCTTCCTTACCACCTTAGACTCTTCTGAAAACATTACTCAGGTCTTCAGGACTTTTTTTATTGATAGGACAATCAGGTACAGAACACTGCAGAAGGATATCCTATACCATATCAGAGCCGTACTGTGTCAGAAGCGTATACTTTTAAGTAAATCTGATGAATATTAATACCATCACATGCTGGAAAAGCTGCTGTGACAGATTCCTCCCCATTCACAGAGGTACTGCAGCTCTCAAATACATGTAACCACCATGGACGTTTACAAAGTCACCATGGCGCGGCATGTAAAAGGGATTTAGTGCCAAGTTGTTATTTCTGACCCAACTACACGTTAAATGCCAGCATCTCCTCAATATCTGTGTAAGACCCTGATTAGTAACAGCCTTGCAGGGTTCGGATCTATCTCTAAGACCTGTTGGAGTGGATCCAGAGGAGGCCATGGTGATGGTCCAAGAGTTGGAATCCCTCTCCTGTGAGTAGAGGTTGAGAGGGTTGGGACTGTAGAAGAGAAGACTCCGGGGAGACCTTCCTGTGGCATTTTAATTCTTGTAAGAAAGATGAGGAGAGACTTTTAGCAAACTTCTGCCCCTGTTGTGACAGAACAAGGGTAATGGTTTTAAACTAAGAGAGGAGATTGAAACTAGATGTAAGGAGGAAATATTTTACGTTGAGGGTGGTGAGACACTGGCCCAGGTTGCCTGGAGAGTTGGTGGATGTCCCATCCTTGGAGACATTCAGGTTTGGGTTGGATGAGGCTCTGAGCAACCTGGTCAGCTGGGAGATGTCCCTGCTCGTGGTGGGGGAGTTGGACTAGATGACCTTCGACGGCTCCTTCCAATCTAAATCAGTCCATGATTCCATGATTCTAACACAGGGATGATCTTGGCTGATACGACAATAAAGCCTGATAAAAAGGCGAAGAATGACTTTTGAAGTGGATGACATGTCTGAGGGTTTACACAAAGAGGGTATTACTTCCTGCAGGCAGGTATCTGGCTATTATTTCGTGACCGAAACAATACTCCCTTAGGGACAATTCCAGAGGAGACACCCAATGTCGTAGGAGGACGTGCTCGCACCTTGGGAACAAACGACGTGTTCCAGCCCCCAGGGATCTCCTGTCACCACCCCAGCCTGACATTTAGAGTCTGCTGAACATGATGGCGGCCTTTATTTCCCATGAATAGGTGCTACCTCACCATCCTGGAACTCTCATACCGGTGTCCCCTCTCACCCGATGAAAATTCCATCAACACCTTCACGGTCTCACAGACCCTAGAAACAATCTCTTAGGGAAACAACACAGAAAGTTGATAATGTGCACCTAGAAGAAATAAAAAGCAGGAGGTGTGAGGACCAAGCGTGATGGGGGGACACCCGAGAATAAGACTGAGAAAGCAGAAACTCTTCAGTCTGAACTTTAACCACACAGCCACCTCCCAGAGACAGAAAGGATTCACATGGGCCAATAGTTTCCCCTGGTCTCCCAAAATCTCACTTCCAAGTTCTAGGCATGGTTCTACCTGCGTCCCCTGGGGACATGATTAAGTGACTCTGTGTCTCAAGGTCATTCCTCAGGAAGTGGATCAGAATAACTTACAGCTCCCTCCGGTCCCCATTAATGCAAATTCATTAGGAAATTCACACCTGGCGTATGAACCAATTACGGTGAAGAATAGAAGCGGTGAGCAAACAGAAAGAGGCAAAGATTAAATGCCGGAAGACACGTGAGAGGCATATGCTGGATGATACACGCTGAAGTCAGAATCGTCAAAGAATGTCTCATCTCCAGGGGGATGGCTCTGAAGCATATAAAAGGCTCCCCAACACAGTGGTCTTCATTCGCTCGTCTCGACTTGTCGTCTCTTCTCCTCACTGATCAACAGGGTAAGTAAGAGCTTCCTACTCTCCTTTTCATTTGCACTCTGCCGTACTTCCACGAGGTTTTGCAGGAATCCATCCAGGATTTGGGTTGGGACCGATTTTGAGACATTGAGCGTCCACCTGGGTGGCTTCTTTCTGATGGAACCAGTGCTGGATGATACGCCAAATGCACGGGTGTCCGATGCAAAAAATGTGGGACATCTGAGGGATAGGCTGCCACGGGATTCTGCATTGCAGGGATGGATTTCCCCAGCCAGTTTGGGATGGATTTTGGGAAGAGCATGCTTGAAGCTGCCTAAAAACTGGCAGATTCAGACCAAGAAAAAGTGATTCTCTCTGTTTCTTCTAGCTTTGCCTACGCTACTGCCAACAACATGTCCAGCGGAGGTTGCGGATGCTGCGGTGGAAATAATAACTACACCGTGTGCTGCTACGGCAGCTCCAAGAGCTGCAAGAGGCCGGTGTGCTGTCCGCCCATGCAGTGCTGTGCCCCCACGCAGTGCTGCTACCCCCAGGCCTGCTGCATGCCCA